GCACAAGTGAGTGATACGGGTTACAGTCTCAGAGAGGACAAGAGTTTCTACAAGGTTCCAAATCCCCCTACTGTCGACTGCCTCCAACCAACTAACAATTCCGCCTTCGTTCACTTATTTTTAAGTTGGTTGGCCAACAGTCGCAATACAATGTACGCTGTATTTTGAACAAGACCAGAGTCACGACTTCTTTTGTAACATGCCAATCGATATCTTCACATTAATGAAAATTATGTCAAGCATCTCCTGGCTTTCTTCATTAATGCTGGAGAATTGAAAATATGACTTAATTGTGCTAATCGTGTTTCCTATATGGTCACTAAGAAGCGCTTCTAACTGATGTAAGACAGTTGGAAGCAATCAAAAGGAAGGCGTGCAGCTGGACAGCTATTTCGCATGAAAGGCGTTCAAAACCTGGACTTTCAGGTTACAAGGCGAGCTCATGGACCAATAGACCACTTAGACCCAAGCCAATGGTCCATGCATTCCATATTCTGAAAGCAGGATCCACCAAGTCAGGTAAGAAGACAGTTAATCACCTGCGACACTGGCTGGCGGATGCCTTAAATATATGTGTCACCAACTGGCAGAATGTGAAATTCATGGCTCAGGCTCAAGCGGCTCATTGGTCTACGAGCTCACCCCGCAACTAGTAGGTCCTGGGTTCAAACCCTTATGTGTGCGTACTGATGAAGAGCCCCAAAGTAGAACAGAGTGGCTGCTCATTACTCTTAGGTTTGCCAATGGTTTTGTAACTGATGTCAGCTTGTAGTCAATCCCCGAATACTGGGATCAATAGCCTAAGATTTCTGGTGCAAACAGTAAGGACTTTTCAGGGTTGTTGAAGCTATTACTCTTCATTAGGCTGTGATTAATCCTACTTCCCTGCATTCGCAATATGAACAGAACAAATTTGAATGTTGTGAATTTGTATTCCTTATTCATGCATAAATAATTAGAACAAAGTTAGTCTTTAGGTTTCAATAATGTTATTCAGTTATCATTGATATTTTAAATTGAAGCAGTAAAGCCTTCAAACATATTTGAAAGTTACTTGACAGATGTCGGCAATCAGTAGAACGCCGAAAGCCCATTTCGCTCTATCTAGAACTGCTTGGCTGAATTGACTAACATTTTAGTTTGTGCTAGTACATTGGTTGAAGCATGAACCAATCATCCACTGAACTATAGAGAATTACTAACCACATCCTGTTCAGTGGATTATAAACTGTTATTTCTACCCAAAATTACGCATTTCCAATTCCCTTTTTGATTTGACAAAAATTATGGATCGCTTTCAGCTCATAGGCGCTTCTAGAGAAGACGTCTTAATTTATAATGAACACTTTTCACAGGTTGCTTTGCATGTGTTCAATTGATTTCAAGATTGTTCATAAACCGAATTCAGTTAGGGTACCACTGAAAACCTTCCAGGGAACAGTTGAGAACTATTTTGTCGTTGTCTAGGATTCCCCAACAGGAGGTCTTTTCTATCGCGAATTAGCAGAATTTTGAATTGATTAGCTACCCAGTGGATTCCGATCCAGTAGCTCAATGATCAACCAGCTCAACTTGTAATCTTAAGGTCCTGGTTTCGTCCTCTTCTGATGCCATGTCTGCGCAGTTATGAAGAGTCTCAAACAAAGACGGAAGATCTGCCTGGTACTCTCTGATGGACTAGCTACCTAGAATAGTGGCGCCATTGCTAACCTGACTGATAGAATTCAGTCTGCGCCAAAGAGAGGACTTGACACATCACACTAGATACTAGTGTTAAATCAAAATATCCACTACAGTCCTACAGGTGGTCAATCGCGAGCCCGAATAGCCCAGTGGTAACTTCTCTGACTGCAGGTGGCACTGGGTGACACGGGTTCAAATCCCAGAATGGACGTGAGTTCCTTCTGGAAGGCAGATACGCCTTGATGACTGTTGAGTGCCAACGAGCATGAAAACTAGGTCGAACAAGGCTTCCGGTGGCCGATTGCCTCCAACCATCTAATATCATCAAAACTCTCTGATAGTTTTCAGAAAATAAACAATGAAAAACAGTTTTGAACTTTTCTCTGCATTTCACACGACAAACAAAATTGTCACAAAGAAATACAAGTACATTAATCAAGGAAAAGAAGACACGTACAAACTTCGTTAAACACACACACGCACACACAAACACACGTTATTCACCAGAAGAGCTTTGTACAGCTAAACTCAGCAGTAATCGTTAATAAATACAGAAGAATCAATCACATGTAATAAAAACAGCGCAAAAGAAAACTGCAGGAGACACGCTTTATTATCTTACTTATTGTAAATGCCATTACTCCTACTGTAAACAGAATTGGCAGAAACAGTAATAACAATAGTAATAATAATAATAAATAATAATAATGTACTGTGATTATGAACGGCTTCTTTTTGCTAAGAGAAAATATAATGGAGCTATTTTCAATTGTTTATGAGCACTACACACATGCGTCTTTTGTGTGCCTATGCTGCAATGTTAATCGCTCTAGGTGTTATGCTTGTTTGCTGGTCCAAGCGACACATTAACACAAGCGGACAGGTTGGGTTTTACTGAGAATTCACATGCATAGGAGAAATAAAAATGAAAGAGGTAAGAATTAACCAATCACTAAAGGTGAAAACCACTTTTTAAACATACTGGTACACAGAGAGGTTTACTGTGGTGATACGTGAAGTGAGAAGCCGTAAAAGGCAGCGTCCTCCAAGTCAGGCAAGAGGAAAGTTACTCATCCATGACACTGGCTGGAGTTTGTGGAGAAGTTGTAATGCACAGACAAATGGGTTACAGTCCAGTAGCTGAATGGTCTACGAGCTCGTCTGGTAACTGGAAGGTCCTGGGTTTGAATCTCGGTGTGTGTGTGTGTACTGATGAAGTGTTCCAAAGTAGAACATAACAGTTGTTCAGTACTCCCAGGTTTTCCAGTGGTTGTCCAAATGATGCCTGCTCGTGGTCAAACCTGTGAATCCAGTGAATCATACTGATGCCTTTCCTTTTTGAGAGATATACCGTTGTCACATCTCCATTATTCTATAGTACTCGTTTGAATTTATATGTGCTCTTATCATGCACTTACCAACAATGACTTCATGAAGTATTTGAAGCTTGGTTTAAGCCAACCACATAAGGAAGTGTAGACTGCCTGGTTTAGCACTTCAGGATGCTAAAATCCAATACCTGGAGACTGCTGGTGATATACTTGAAAGTCGTTCTAAATGATAACGAAGCATCATCTTTGTTATTTCACATATTCAATAAACGCTGATGTTTTTCCATATCACTATTCTTCCTTTGTTCTGTAAACATCTAGTTATACTTGTTGTACATTTATCTTTGTGCCTGTTTCTTCTATCTTGAGTGCCTCATAGAGTGCAGCACCTTGAACTGTTGCTCTCCTATCCAAAAGTCTTAACTGAAACCCAACCAGTTAATTTATTGTCTGATAGCTCATCAGGAAAACCCATCAGCTATAATTGCTACCACTGTGCACGTTTTTGCATCGCTCAGCCGAGCATCCGGAAGTGAATAGAACAAAAATTGATAAATAATAAAAATTGTAGTTGAACGTGGTAGTCGAAATCGTGCCTGATTGGTTCTGCTCCGCCACTCATTGAAAACGCAAGCACATCTAGCTGATGAGTCTTAAATAGGACGAAATATCATGGATTTCAATACTGGTCATCAACGATCCCCTAATACGCCTATGCATTTATTCATTCTCGTCACATAGTTCAGTGTTTTTGGATGTATACGAAATCACACCTGCTAAAAATTTAAAATTTGAATTTTTTTAACAGCAATCTTCCGTCTACATTCGAAATGAGTAAGCGAATGTGGGGTCATCACAGTATAGTTCAACTCTTTACCAACGATCAAGTATCAACCATATTGTCGTGAATACATTTCCACTTGCCGCATGTTTATCTTTATCGGGATTATTTAAACTGGTAATCCAGAAGTCTGTTTTTCTAAATACTACAACAACGCGAATGTCTCCTTCAGCGGTAATTACTAACCATTCCATAGACAGCAGTAGTAGGCAGACCGGTAAAAAGACTGCCGAAGATCCGAGTTTCGTAGATGATTTATGTCTCATTTCACACAAACTCGAAGACTTTCAGGGGAAAACCAACCAATTGACAGAAGAAGCAGCGAAGACAGGACTTCAAGTTACCTAGTAGAAGACGGAGGTGATGAAAATAAACAACCACTGGCAACAATCATCAATCACTGTCATTAAGAGAAATGTGAAAGTAGTTACTTTCTTCACCGTTTCAACTACAGACAAATGGCAAGGGTAAGAATGGCAAAACCATATTGTGAAGGGCAAGACTTGTCTTCATTTCTCGGAAATCAGATCAGAAGTCGTGAACAACGAAATTAAGATTTCGAACAGCAATACTAAGTCTATCCTTCTATATGCTTCATAAACTTGACGCACACGTCACAGTAAGCATTTCAAACAGGCAACTGCAGAATTTAACCAACAGTTGCCTTCGATTTTTCAATCCGGAAAGGATTAGCGACAGGAAAATCTGGGAATAAAACCAATGAAGAATCTATTAAAAGACAGATATGACAAGGAAAAAGGAGATGCATTGGATACGCGTTGCGACGGCCGATGTGGCTGAATTACGCTCCAGGACCTCAAGTGAAGGCTGAATTGGCCAGTGTGATTTCTGACGGTGACAAATAGCATGTCATGTGAGGAGGAGATGGGAGCCATTAGGCGATCATGGGGTGGCCTAAAAGGGACTTTAGAGAATAGAAAAAAAGGAGATGTGCTGTTAGGGCCTCATTTTCTATTCGCAGCCCAACAGAAAATGATAAACTAATTATTATCTCTAAAGTTCCACTTCATACTGATAATCTGAAGAAATAAAAGTCGAAACATTCATTTTCTTAAAAAAACATCTCATGGATAAATAAACAAAAATAAAAAGGATCCTCTATTCTATTGAAACATTTAACTTACTTGGTGTTGTCAGTATACTCGCTGTTAGAATAAGTGAAGATATGAAGACAATAACCAGCAAAGCGAGAAGTATCCCCTTCCAATTCCTCTTTTGTGGTGCGTTCGTCATCAGTTCCTGTGAACACGTTACAAAAAGAAGGAGGAAGAGATACAGAAGAAAACGAAATTAGTTTTCCATCAAGCCCAGGAAGTTAAAATCTTTCTTAAAAATGTGCCAGTCATTATCTACTGAATGAAAAGTTTCTTTCTTGATTTTTCAGAGAAAGGATAAAAGAACCTTGTAAAATGTGCGGTAAATTGTGGTCTGTGTAACAGAATAGTATTCAAGAACTTTTTTTTAGAACAGTTAGATTAAGAGGATAAATTCTTTAGTGAGTGAGAAAACAGTGTGAATAACATGGAAAGGAGGTTAAAGTTACTAAAGTCTAAGACACAGTTGAATCTTTGATGAAAAACTATCACCACCAACCATGTCAAAGAATCATTTTGAAATTAAATCCCGTAAAGAAATCTAAACAAACGTGTGAATACATAAAATAATAATAATAGTAGTAGGATGAGATGCAATAAAATATTTGTAATTATAATCCCTTTACTCGCATGAGGGAACACTTACCAAAGTGGCTGAAAACAGCTAAAGTCAAAGTGCGGAAAAGCTCAGTAACAAAGCATCTTGTGGACTACGGACATGATATCGACGCTGTCAAGCCATTCACTGTTGCCAGTCAGTAGACAAACAAACAAGAAGATGTTTGCGATTATAGAGGCTTGTGAAAGTGGAGTTTATAAGGCAGGTCTCTGTGTACAGAAGGCGATGGTCGTTTTACGTTTTACTTATTAACTGTTGTTATTATTAACGGTATTAATATTATTAACACTTAATTCTACTTCCTTTTATCATTATTCCTGATTCATTTAAAACTATCTTTTACCAGTAGCATTATCTAAAGTCGTTTCAGCACTATTATGGTAAGTATTACTACTAATATTGCTCAGTTTGCAATTACTGATATATCTAATGTCTTTCTCTAATAACTAACTGTTTATCTAGTTGATTTAATTGAAGCGTAATGCATTTTGTCTTAATTCTAATCTCTCATAATCCTCTCCCCTTAACTATTTGAAAATGACCTGAAAAACATTCGCACGTGTCGTTTTGCATGATTAATTCAATAAATTTTATTTACTTATCATTCTTATATGTTCCAATGTATTTCCAATAGTATGTATATCCCCGTATGTGGAGTACTCAGTTGACGATGTGTTCTACCGAAATTTGATGAATTCATTAAATCTGGCTTTATTAACCTTTGGTACTGGTTTTAAAACCACTAATTAATATTAGGTATCAAGGGGAAAAACAATAACTGTTGCATATAAAATGATTAATATGGGTGCATAATTATAGGGCTGGTAGGCAAATATAAAACGTTACTCAACATGGTGTGAAATTTTGACAAGATAGAATTTAACACTGGGAAAACATTTTTGATTTATAATGACCAGTGGAAACAATTCACAGCGAGAATAGTAATAGTAATTATAAAATAATAATCTTAGTAATGAGGGAAAGGTTTCCTGTTACACGGTAGTGATACTCAGTCCAATGGCGAATAAATTTCAACTTCTGCTAATTCACAAAAGATATCGCAAACGCCAATCAATGACATTGAAACATAACGATTCTCTTGCCTAATCTGGTGAGGAGAAGTTTAAATTTATGAGCCACCGGATTTAATCCTATTAACCGAATGGTCTAATAGCTAGCCTTGTAGACGGAAAGTCCTGGATTCGAAAACTTGCCAATGTACATTACTGAGGAACTTCAAACAAGAACGAAGTAACAAAATAACACCAGGTTGAAGAAAAACAATGACCTATGAAAAATAGTGTTTAAAATTCCGTAGTCGAAAGTAGTAGTTAATTGATGGATAATCATTGAGGAATAAATGTTTGCAAACAAGAAAACAAAAGGTCAAAACTGGATCACAAAAAATAAAAAATAAAACGATTACGTAGAGTTATTGTTAAAACAATTCAAGAAAATAAAATTGCTACTGAGGTCCTGTTAGTAGTAAAAGACGCTTGATAAAATGCTATTTTGCCTCATTTTAGTTCTCATCAGTTCATACATAAAGAGCTTATGCAAAGCCTAGAAGAAACTTTTCTCTTGTAATTAATTCCAATGAGTACTTGTTTCTTATTGTAGTCAAAGAATAAACCAGTTAAGAAAGTTATGTATTGAATGGATTTTAATAAAAGTGGCTCTTTTAATTGGACACTAGTTAGTATTGAATGTAATTTGCCTAGTCCTTTGCATAATACAAATAAAGTTTGCAATGTGGCATCATACTAAGTGGTTAAAGACAACTGGGAAGGAGGAAGCCTTTGACCTAGATTTCGTGCTAGTTGGCACTCACTAGCCAGCCAGCAAGGCGTGTTTGCAACTTTGAAAGAACTCATATCCCTTCTGAGATTCAAACCCACGTCACGCAGTGCTGCAGTCAGAGCTGACGTTACCACTGCGCTATTCTGGCTGGCGATTCACCTCCTATAGGACTGTATTGGATACTGTGATTGGTGAGGCTGGTCCAAATCCCAAAGGGAATGTGAGTTTATTCACGATAACAGAGACGCCTTACTAACTGATGAGTGACAACAAGGACAAAACCCAGGTCCAATGCTTCCTACCGCTAGCTTTCAACCGTCTAACATCAAGATTAGCTTTTATTTTACACAATGCATTAGGTACCTGGACAGACAGGGAATGGAGTGAAACCGAAACCATTTAGAAAAACAATCGGATGATTAAAAACAGCGATAGACATTCAACACAATGTATTTGTATACATAAGTTTATATTATTTAATTTCAAATGATAACGACTTGATATGAAAATATTACGGTGTGAATATAGATTACAAGGGGCCTGGAAACATAGTTACACAGCACTAGCAAATAGTTACGTATTAAGAAAAAGTTTTTTTGACGAATACAAGAATGAACGGGATGAACGTGGTGACGAACTGAAATAATAGTCTTTATATAACTGCGGATGGAACCAATGAAGGGATTGAGAAAACCGAAGAAACGAAAACTGAGGGTCAATTTCTGTTAGTGAACCACTTCAAACTACCATACACTACTGAACTGTTGAATCGCCCCAGTTTGGGACTTATCGGCAGTACTCATCCATCGAATTTGGAACCAAAGACCTTCCACTTACACAGTGAGATCGTAGACCATTTGGCTATTGGAATAAGACTTAATGGCCAGCGCATGAATTCTGACTTTCACCAATCCACTCTGTGTCCGAAACGCGGTGAGTATGTACTGTCTACGAGCCCTAAACGGTAGATGAAAAGGTTGGACTAGTTTATTTTGAACCCATAGTTCTCACTGGTCGATGCAAATGGTGAAAGCTTTTGCAGTGTAAAGAAGTCGGAAATACACTGCCTTTCATAGGTAGATTTTTGTTTTTACTTTATAAATGACTCTGAATGATAGATAAGTCAGGTGAGATGCTGGTGTGGTTGGGTTCGACTCTTTGTGGGTCTTCACTTGGACCATTTTTTCATTTTCAGTTATAAAAACAGATTTTCATTAAAAATGGTTACCCGAAAAAGCTCCTAGATAATAGTATCAGTAAAATAAGTAGAAGAGAAAACAGAAAATCGAAAAGTCTTGGCTATCGACGATAGTCATTCCATATCGAAAGGAGACAGCTGAACAACTTCAAAGACTATTTGCTTCATGTAATATTAAAGTCTATTTCAAGCCCTCTAATTCTCTAGAGAATGCTTTGGTGAATGTCAAAGATATGATCCCCAGAAGGTAATAACACAATTGTGTCCATAGGATAAAGTGTCCAGAATGTGACGCTTGATATATAGGGGAGAACAGTAGACAGGTGAAGGTCAGAGTGAATGAATATATACTGTGCACAAAACGTCACCCAATAAATGAATTGGAATTAAAAATTCCAGAAAAAAGATCGGTTATAGCAATTCATGCGATAGACAGCGGACATAACATTGATTTCAACAATGTCGAAATTCTAGAAAGAGGCTTTCATTCACATAAAGAAAGGCTGACCTCTGATGCCTTGCACATTTTAACAACATTGAATGCAGTAAATGCAGGAGAGAAGGGATAGACTTATCACCTATATGGCAAACTCTATTGAAGCAAGACAGATGAGAAACATAACTAACCCTTACCAACCAAACTATAGATGAGAAAACAACGAAAACCTCTTTCAACCTCCATGACCTTTAAAAACTGTATTATCATATGTGAACTGACGTGTGAATTGCCATGAAAAATAACATACGCACCCACACACACACATACAGAAAAATATACACAGTGACAGTTCGACATTAGTCATTACAAATATGCGATGACTGCTTACATATTTCTAATGGTAAAAATGTCTATCGATAAGTTACCTTCAAATGAACTGACTTCATTTATGTAAACACTTTTTGACTATATATTTTGATGATTAGTAAAATCTAATTTATTCTGCTGCTGAGGAAGCTGTGGCTTACACATCGAAACGTTCAGGAAACAGATCTTGTTTTATTTTTTTAAACACGCTGGGATTAATTTAAATCATTTATAATATAAGAACTACTGTTTCCATGCTTATCCAATCTACACCGGTCTTCCTTAAAAGCTATCTTGCATATTACGCAACTACTCTCTAACCCTGTGTATTTTTGTTTCATAGCCCCTAGTAATTTAGATCCACTAACATCTTCGAACCTCCATATCAAGTTGAAAATGGTTATCGCCTTCAATCTCCTCCTTCGTTATCATGTGGAATAAAACAATAATTGTATCTGTGCGAATTTATTTAAATTAATATTATTGTACAACTTCTTCTGTGGACGAAATCAATATAGTAAAAAAATCCCTATTTAGACATTTAGAAAACAAAATGATTGGGCGAAGCGATATTGACTTTTCAATCAGATCCTACAACAACAGGTCAGTACACTCATTTTTTAAGTTTTGCACCTTTGAAATATAAACATAACCTTAGAAAGTGTCTAGTTCATAGAGCCGGGTTAATCTTTTCAGACGACTGCCTCAATGAGGAGCTTAAAC